AGAGAAAGTCTAACCATTGGCCCTTGACTTTCAATAACATTGCCATCACTGAATACCTGTAGATGCTGAAGGTTACTGTTGATGGAACACTCCCCACTTGCCTGGATAAGATCAGTTCCAGCAACATTCAAGAAGCTTGACGCATCCAGGACAAAGCAGCCACGTTGGTAGTACATCCATTCCCTTCACCACCTCTGATGTTCATTAGCAGCAGTGTGTACCATCTACCAGATACTTTCAGAAATTCAACAAGGCTCCTTAGGCAGACCTTACAAACCCTGAACACTACCATTTAGATGGACGAGGGCAGCAGATACATGGGAACGCTACAACTTGCAAGTTCCCTTCTAAACCACTCATCTTCCTGACCTGGAAATGTATCACCAATCCTTCAGTATTCTTGGGTCAAAATCCTGGAATTCCCTCTATGGGTCTACCTACAGCTCATGGACTGCTGTGGTTAAGGAAGGCAGCTCACCCCCACCTTCTCAAAGGCATCTAGGGATGGGCAACAAATTGTGGCCCAATTAGCAATGCCCATATCCCACAAATTAATAAAAACAAATACTTGTTTTGAGGTGTTAGTGCCTTGACCTGAGCAAGGAAGCTGATTCTATCAATAATTTCAAGGAAGAATATTTCAGATATTTTACAGGTCTTGGACAAAAAACAGAGATGTGGGTTAAGCATGATTATTCTTATGAGGAGACAGCGTAGGCATGACTGGCTGAATGGCTTCCTGCATTGTAAGTTTATGATCCAATGAAACCAGCACATTGAACAGGTTTAGTATTGGCTACAGAGCAACAAGCTGAACAAGCACACATTTAACCATTCTCCACCGTCTCGCTGTCAAATCCTGTATGCCGCCAACTGCCCAGCTCCCTATGTGGAACTGCAAATTTGACTAGATCCTGCTCATGACTGAGGAAACATTTTGCAACAGAATTGGAATGATTAGTGAATAGTGAGGATGATGAAAAATTCCAATTTAATGAAGAGCTATCACAAAGACTTATAATGTGGGTCATTGTGTCCCAGTATAAGGATCTCCCATGTCAGCACCTTTGTGTGCAGAACCTGGCTCTAATTATTGATCAGGACGTGATCAGAGTTAACTCAAACTGTGTAAATTTTACTAAATGCTCTCAAAGTCCATTCATAAAATGCAAAGGTGTGTCATAGAATTTGACCACAAAACATTTCCTGGGTGGTTCACTTTCGGGTTGGCTCAAGGGGCAAAAAGATACCACTTAACTCGATTCTGGAAGATTCTGAGCTTCAGTTACGCATGTTCCCCGAGGTTTATTTGTGGACTGTGGGTGTCATTAACCAGTATTTGTCCATCTCTAATTGCCCCTGGACCGAGTGGCTTGCTCAGGGGCAGTTAAGAGTTAATCAGATTTAATTGCTTGCTTTGTGAAGGAGGGAGAACTCCTTATTGAAAATGCATCCCTCTGGATCTACACAACAGCAAGTGTTACCTACATCATTCAGTACTCTACAGGTAACCTTTTTTTTCTGTCTGCCCTCATTTTTCCTCCCTTGGCTATGATGCCTGACGCAAGAGGGCCACCTCATGGTCTATGCCAACTCTTGTTTTGAAATTTCCCAGTTGATAAAGACTATCTTCCCCAGGGACTCTGCTGCTAGTGTCAAGCTTGTCTTCAAACTGGTCTTTGGAGTACAGTGATGGAGGAGAGATACTCATGATCTTAACTGGCCCTGTTTTGAAATGCGCGGCAGATGGAGAGAACATAGAGCCATAGAGATGTACAGCATGGAAACAGGCCCTTCGGTCCAAGTTGTCCATGCCGACCAGATATCCTAAATTAATCTAGTCCCACTTGGCCCAATATCCCTCTTAAACCCTACCTATTCATATATACATCCTGATGCCTTTAAATGTTATACCAGCCTCCAACATTTCCTCTGGCAGCTCATTCCATACCTGCACCACCATCTGCATGCAAAAATTGGCCCTCGGGTCCGTTTTAAATCTTGCCCCTCTCACCTTAAACCTATGCTGTCTAATGTGGAACTCACCCACCCCAGGGAAAAGACCTTGGCTATTCACCCTATCCACGCCCCTTGTGATTTTATAAACCTCTATAATGCCCCCCTCAACCTCTGATGCTCTAGGGAAAATAGCCCCAGCTTATTCAGCCTCTCCCTGTAGCTCATACCCTCCAACCCTGGCAACATCCTTGTAAATCTTTTCTGAATCCTTTCAAGCATCCTCCCTATTGCAGGGAGACCAGAATTGCATGTAGTATTCCAAAAGTGGCCTAACCAATGTCCGGTACAGCTGCAACATGACCTCCCAACTCCTGTACTCAATACACTGACCAATAAAGGCAAGCGTACCAAACCCCTTCTTCACTATCCAGTCGACCTGGGACTCCACTTTCGAACCTGCACTCCAAGGTCTCTTTGTTTAACAACACTCCCCAGGACCCTACCATTAAGTGTATAAGTCCTCCTTTGATTTGCCTTTCCAAAATGCAGCACCTCACTTTTATCTAAATTAAACTCCATCTGCCACTCCTCAGCCCATTGGCCCACCTGATCAAGATCACTTTGTACACTGAAGTAACCTTCTTCGCTGTCCACTACACCTCCAATTTTGCCGTCATCTGCAAATGTACTAACCATAACTCCTGTGTTCACATCCAAATCATTTATATAAATGTTCATAAAGGTGTTATATCATTGCAAGTCTTTCTTTTCTTTGAAATTTCCTTTCCACTTTTTATCTTAGCTTGGTCATGTTTTTAAATTCCTGATCCAATCTGAATTTCTGTTTTTTTTTACTGACTTATTCCTTTTCCCTAAGATGGGGAATTTCAAGACGAGGGGGCACATTTTTTAAGGTGAGAGGAGAGAGACTTGAAAAAGACATGAGGCAAACCTTTTACACAGAGGCTGGTTTGCGTGTGGAATGAACTTCCTGATGAAGTGGTGGATGCAGGTACAGTTACTACGTTTAGAAGGATGGATATATGAATAGGAAAGATTTGGAGGCATATGGGCCAGGAGCAATCAGGTGGGCCCAGTTTAGTTTGGGATTAGGTTTGGCATGGACTGGTTGGACCGAAGGGTCTGTTTCCGTGCTGTGTATGACTCCATGACTCTATGATAATATGTTCTGAACCACTTGTGGGAGTCTATCATCAGGAGTAATGAGCCCCTTGTAGTGAAGCTACTTTCCAATTTGATGGAATCTTTCTCGAGTCTGCAGCTCTTTCAGTGTCTGTCCCACCCCTTGCCTTAAAGCTATTGCTGGAATTTTTTTTATCCTCTGGTAATGACAAGCAAAATATTTGTTCATTTCATCCACCATTTCTTTATATCCTACTATTAACTTTGCATTCTCACTTTCTAGAGGATCATCACTCACTTTATACTTATTTTTCACTTTTAAATATCTTGTAGAGGTAAATAGAAACTTTTGCTATACATTTTTAAATTCCTAAGTAACTTCCTCTCATACTCTAAATTTATCCCTTCTGATTAATCTTCTAACCATTCTCTGACGTCTTTTATAATCTGACCAAACATCTGGCCTCCCTCTTATTTTTCTGCAGTTATATCCTTTTTCCTCAAGTTTATGCTCTCCTTAATTTTAGTTAGCCATAGATAGTGGATCCGCCCTTTAGAATTTTTCTTTCTAGTGGGAATATGCTTATTCTGAGTATTCTGACATCCCTTTAAATGTTGGCCACTGTGTCTCTTGATCTATTCCTAGCCTGGTATGTCAGTTCACTTCAGCTAGCTTAGTTTTCATGCCCACACAGTTGCCCTTATTTAGGTTTAATCACTAATCTTAGACCCAGTCTTCTCCCTTTCAAACTGGATGAAAAATTTAATCTCATTATGGCTGCTGTTACCTAAGGATGCTTTAACTCTAAAGTCATTAATTAATCCTATCACATTTCACCAAATGAAGTCTAACATAACCTGATCTCCTGAACTAGTTTTCAGTTAAGATCCAGACCTACAATGGAAGTTAATTATTTCATGGCCTATGTGTCACTGGCTAGACCAGCATTTCCAGCACTAATTCCCTCAAACGAGGTGGTAATCTCCCCTCCTGCACTGCTACAGACCTGGGGATTTTGGAAAATGTATAGTACTGATAGGAAGGGAGTTCCAGGATTTTTGACCCAGCAACACTCAGTGAATGGTGATATATTTCTAACTCTGTGGTGAGTAGCTTGGAAGGGAATGTGCAGGTGGTGGTGTTTTCATGGATCTGCTGCCCTTCTCCTCCTAAAGGGTAGAATTTGCAGGTTTAGAAGGTGTTATCAAAGGGAACCTTGATGAGTTACAGCAGTGCATTTGCAGATGTCAATCCTCTCTGGTCAAGCTGTGACTATACCTTGTGATATGGACAGTCTGAATTTATTTGGTTGTGGACTCATGGTGTAAAACTGCCTCTAATTTGGCTCCAATTGTCACTGTGTGGTTGTTATCTAACTGGGAGATGATGGCCTAGTGGTATTGCCACTGGACTGTCAACCGATAGACCCAGATGATGTCTGGGGATCTGTGTTCAAATCCCACCATGGCAGAAGGTGGGATTCAAATTCAATAAAAATATCTGGAATTAGGAGTATGATGATGGTCTTGAATCTATTGTCAATTGTCAGAAAAACCCATCTGGTTCACTAATGTCCTTTAGGGAAGGAAACTGCCATCCTTACCTGGTCTGGCCTACATGTGACTCCAGACCTACAGCAATACGGTTGACACTTAACTGCTCTCTGGGCAATTAGGGATGGGCAATAAATGCTGCCTGGCTGGCGATGCCCTCATCTTGTGAATGAATAAAGAGAAAAAAAATTGAAAAACAGCTGCTAATGAGATTTGGAAGAGTCACACTGCTGCATTCAGTGCTGTGATGTTGTAGAGTTGAGGGAACTTTACTCGTGGTGTGGGATTATTTGCTGATGCTATTCCCTTACCCTGATGTCTGTCTCCTGATGCACTTGTTTCAGGATGTACGTTACCACTCCTTCCAACTAGGCAAGAACACAGATCCAGATAAAGAAGACAGCGCAGAGTTCAAAAAGGCTTTCACTGTTCATCTCGTGCCAGACCCCACACTAATGTACCGTCTTCATCGCCGCTTCAGTGAAATTGAGCTGGAGAAGACATACCGGGAAATCGAAGAGCTACAGGTAATGTTGGGCTGAAAGGAGACGGTAATGAGATGGTAAGATATAGGATCAGAATTAGGCCACTTGGCCCATCGGGTCTGCTCTGACATACAATTGTGACCGATATGTCTTTCAACCCCATTCTCCTGCTTTCTACCCGTAAACTAACTATCTCCATCTTAAATGCACTCACATTCTCAGCCCTCCACATTCTCCTGCAGCACACACATTTGCCGCTCTCTGGCTGAAGAAATTCCTCTACATCTCAGTTCTAAAGCATCATTCCTTCACACTAAGACTGTGCCCTCAGGTCCTAGTCTCTCCTACTAGTGAAAATATCTTCTCCACGTACAGTCTGTCCAGACCTCTCAGTATTCTGTGAGTTTAATCAGATTCCCCTCATCCTTCTAAACGTCACTGAATGGAGACCCAGCATCCTCAACTCCTCATATGACAAGCCCTTCATCTCTGGTACATACTTGTGAACCTTCTTTTGGGCCCCTCCTAGGCCAGCACATCCATTCTTAATGTTAGGCCAGAGGGAGCTTTGTTCATTCTCGGGGAGCGTTAGCTCATGCATGTAAGGATAAACTAATTCTGATTTTCTTGAAGAATTTCAGGAATGTTTATTGGTGCTTTAAGAATTAAAGTCCGTAGATTCCATCTGTTTTACCACAAAATCCACTGTTAGGCCTTCTCTTTTATCTTTAATTCCTGGCTACAGTTCTGCAAAGACCATCATTGCCTTACTCATCATGCTGTTTCGAAAGATTTAACAATTAGCCTCACTTCCCTTCGCTGCAAATTTCTCCTTTTGAAGTATTTATCCCGTTGCCTTCTGAAAGTTCCTGTTGAATCTTTTACCACTGCCCTTTTTAGGCAGCGTGTTTGAGATCTCCACAACTTGCTGCATTAAAAGGAATTGATTTTCCCCGCCTTGCAATTTTCCACCAATGACCTTAAATCTGTGCACTCTGGTCACTGACTCAGCTGTGAATGGAAACACTGCTCCCTGTATAAACCATTGTAGAACCTTCCATTTCTTTGTGTTCTCCAAGAGAAATAGGTGCATGTACAAGGTGAACAAAAATGTTGACTTTTTGAGCTATTAATCAGCTTGTGAATACTTCCAGCTCCACTGCATGCTTCTCCAAGGAAGAAAGATACAATAACAATATCCTAAGATCGCAGCACTACTTCCTGATTTGGCTCTTGTGTCCTGTTTTATGCAGTTTTCTTTAATGTCATTCCCAGCAATCCCTTGGTCCATTTGGGTTTCTCAATGATGGAAAATCCTCAGAGCTTCTCACGCTGTCTCTTTCTTGTGCGCTAACTCTCTTGAGTGTACGCAATCTCTCCCATTTCTCCCTGTCTGCACTTTTCTGACCTCTCTTTCTGTGCTCTCAGTGCTAATCAATCTCTCCTCCTTGCTCTCACACTCTTTGCCAGTCTTTCTGTCTCTGCACTTATTCTGTCTGTGCGCTTGCTCTCACTCGCTCGCTCTCTGTGCCCTGTGCTAAGCTCTCTGTATTTTGCAGGTGGAAATCAAGAACCTCAGTAAATTGACACCCGAAGGCGAGGCTGGAGCCTCCTGGCCAATTGGCATCAACCCACCGTTCAAACCTAAAACCCGCTTTGAGGTTATCAACTGGGAATATTTCACAGAGGAGCAGATTTACTCGTGTATCGAAGGCACTCCAAAGTGTGAGCTCCGAGGCATCAACAAGGCAGACATTAGTGACATCATCGAGACTGCAGTTCAGCAGCTGAACGAGAAGTATCAGCCCCTGCTGCGCTTCCGCAAGAGGCAGCTTCTCAACGGCTACCGGCGTTTTGACCCGACTCGGGGAATGGAGTATACACTAGACCTTCTGCTAGAAGCCCACACCCAGAAAGGTTACAGCCGGACCATTGCCAAGCGGGTCAGTCTGCTGAGGCCACTCAGCAATGTGGAGATCATCCCCATGCCATATGTGACCGAGGCCACACGTGTTCAAGTCATCCTGCCCCTCACCGTGCATGAGGAAGGCTATGTGGGCAATTTCCTGGACACCTACTCCATGAATGCCCTGGACATGCATGACAACATGTTGCTGACTTTCCTCTTCATCTATGACCCCTTTGATGCCCAGCGCGTCAGCCAGAATGATGTGTTTGCAGGGGTGAAGTCAGCCATAGCTGAGATTGAAAAGCGTTACTCTGATGTGAAAATCCCATGGATTAGTGTCAAGACAGATGTTCCTTCCCAGGTGAAGATCATGGACATCATCTCCAAGAAGCACCCTGTGGACACTTTGTTCTTCATCGCCAGCGTCTGGACTGAGATCAATGGTGAGTTTCTCAACCGCTGCCGCATGAACACCATAAACAATTGGCAGGTCTTCTTTCCCATCCACTTCCAAGAGTATAATCCTGCTGTCATCTATCGGGAGCAGCAGACCCCCTCCTCTGCTGAGTTCCTGAAGGATGGCCATTTTGACCGCCGTGTCTTTAGTGAGTCTTGCTTTTTCAATTCTGACTACATGGCAGCTCGGACCAAGATGGCCGCTGACATCCTGGACAATGATGAAATGCTGGAAAGTATGGAGGTGTATGACGTGTTCATCAAGTATTCAAACCTGCACGTCTTCCGGCCTGTGGAACCAGGTTTGGTGCAGAAGTACACCCACCGCACGTGTAACCCCCGGCTGAGTGAGGAGGTCTACCACCGCTGTGTGCTCAGCAACCTGGAAGGACTGGCATCACGTTCCCAGCTGGCTTTGGCCATGTTCGAGCAAGAGCAAGCCAACAGCACTTAGACTTGATATTGTAACAAGGAGTATTTTGGGACTTAATCATCTGCAGTATTTGATGTGATGTGGGGTACTGTTGGCTGTACATCCAGTAGAGAGAGGCATTTTGTCTTGAATCTCCATTCAAATCTATTCTTCTTCATGTAAAGGTAGTGGTCATCTGGTACTCTTCCCAACCCCCCACCCCTCCACACTAAAGCAAACAATTGAGGCTAGGGATCAATTCATAATTTCAAACCTCAGATCAACAGATTTGAGCAAAGTTAATTAAAGTTTATGCAGTTGCCCTCTAGTTATGTCAGTTTTGTTTTTATACTGTGCAAATGAGTAATTTGTGATTGGTATCATTTATGGAACAGGCATTTCCAAAGGTTGCTAGATGGCAGCAGTGAATTCTGAATAGAAATAGATTTCAGGGTTTTTCAATGGCCTTTCCCCATTGCTAGGCAGATTTAGATGTTGTCACCAAATTGCTTGTTGCATAAATGTTGCCTGTCATTCAGTGCTGGCTTGATCATTTAAAAAAAATAGATATACCTAGAGGATTTCATCACACCTTAATGATCAGCCATGATCCCATTGAATAGTGGGATAGCTTCCTAGCTTGAAAATCGCTGCTGATCATAAAGATTTGGAATTTTGGACAGTTATAATCCAGCAAGTAATTGGTTGCTGCTTTCAGTTCTTTCCTTATTTCCCCATCTGCAGATTTCTATAGCCCAAATTCAACCTTATCTGCATCTTTTTTTTAATAATATCTTCAGGCTCCCTGTAGTGCTGCATCGTGGCCTTTTCTTATTACTCTTCTCAGCATCTGAACAGTTCAGAACTGGGCTAGTGCTCAGTTCTCTAGTGCTAGGGTTTCTCATTTTAATGAGCAAAAGAATCCTCAAGAAAACACGCAACGATAAATGGAGGGGAGATTTTGTAAGACCACTTGACAGATCTGTCTGATCTTCAGCATAGATCAGCCATTATTTTACATTCCATAAGAGCTTTAACAAGAGCACCTGACAGAATGAGATCATTTGGCATGATGATCTCAACGGTTAGCACTGCTGCCTCACAGCACCAGTGACTTGGGTTTCCTCCAGGTATTCTCATTTTCTCCCACAGTCCAAAGATGTGTAGGCTAGGTGAATTAGCCATCAGAAATGCAGGGTTACAGGGATAGAATGGGGGGAAGGGTGGAGGGCATCTGGGTGGGATGCTGTTTGGAGGGTCACTGTTGACTCAGTTGGCCAAATGGCCTGCTTCCACACTGTAGGGATTCTATGATTCAGCACTTCCAGACCTCCAGCATACTCTTTACACTGTTTAGTTGCAGACACTACCCATCCATTTGATTTCCTTAAGGAGAGTTCTGAGCTTTCAGTGGAATGAGGACCATTAGCACTAGTGATTGGATCACTTTCCTGCATCAGTCACCCTAGTTAGTGCTGAGCACTCCCCATATGGTGGGATACATAGAATATTGTGGCATGAAACTAGGTCTTTTGACCCAGGAACATAAAGCTCCTGTAGTTCTGAAGAAGTCTCATTGGATTCAAAACATTTACTGTTTTTCTCTCTCCACAGATGTCACCAGACCTGCTGAGTTTCTCCAGCATTCTGTTTTTATGTCAGATTTCCAGCATCTGCAGTTCTTTGTTTTTTGTATTCGTAAAGCTTCCGTCCTTGTCCTATCTTGTAAAACAGTCCGCATCATGCATGGTTTCTAGCTTCTGACTTTTCAGGCAGCATTGTCAGTTAGTTTAGTTTTAGTCACCTGGGAATGTGGCTCAGACTACCAGACGAGCACTTTCACTCCCCTCTGCCTGCACTGCTTTTGAAACCCTTCCACATGTGGTGAGAGCTTGTGTCTCACTCAACTGTGCGGGAGTGGTTCCTCTGAACTCCAAGGAGGGTCATCCCTGTTCTGATAAGAAATGCATTTTAATGGATGATTTAATGAATGGTTTATTTATTGTCACTTGCATTTTACAGTGAATAATACCGTTTAAAATGCAGTGAAAAGCTTCAACAATCTCCACAATCCTGTGCCTTTTGGATAGTTTAAGAATAAAAAATATATAACAGAGAGTACTGACACCCCTCCGCCACTGTCAGCGTTGGACCCACCAGTGTAGGAGTCACCACTTTTTAGGTGGCATCTCTTCATCGCTGGGCCCACCTTGCCAATGCTGATGTCATGTCCTGTGTTGAAACCACACTCTCCCCACAGCCAGGAGACCCTGCCTACAGCGACCAAGAGTCCCTGCCTCCGCAGCCAGACCAGGCCTCTGCTCCCATCTCGCCAAGAGTCCCACTCTGGCCACCCTCCTCCAAGATGTCAAAGCTTTATCAAAAATTACAGAGGGATCTTCATCAGATGGGGAAGTGGGCTGAGGTTTGGGAAATGCAATTCAATACAGATAAGTGTGAGGTGTTGCACCTTGGAAAGTCAAACCAAGGTAAGACTTATACAGTAAATGGTAAAATCCTGAGGAGTGTCGTGGAACAGAGGGTTCTAGGAGTACAAATACATAGTTTATTAAAAGCGAGGTAGACAGGGTGGTGAAGAAGGCATCTAGCATGCTGGCTTTCATTGGTTGAGGCATTGAGTAAAGGATTTGGGACATTGTTGCAGTTGTATAAGTCATTGGTGAGGCCGGACTTGGAGTATTGTGTACAGTTTTGATCAACCTGTTATAGGAAAGACATAGTTAAACTGGAGACTATGCAAAGAAGATTTATGAGGATGTTGCCAGGACTAGTAGGTCTGAGTTACAGGGAGAGGTTGGCCAGGATAGGACTTTATTCCTTGGAACTTGGGAGAATGAGGGGTGATCTTATTGAGATGTATAAAATCATGAGGGGCATAGATAGGATGAATGCATAACGTCTTTTTCCCAGGGATGGGGAATTGAAAACTGGAGAGCATAAGTTGAAGGGCACCTGAAGGGCAACTTCTCCAGGCAGAGAGTGGTATGCATATGGAATAGGCTGCCAGAGAAAGTGGTTGAGGCAGGTACAATAGCAATATTTAAAAATCATTTTGGATAGGTACATGGATGGGAAGGGTTTAGAGGGATATGGACCAAATGCGGGCAATTAGAACTAGCTGAGTGGGCAGCATGGACCAGTTTGGGCCGAAGGGCCTGTTTTCATGCTGTATTACTCTATGACACTATCTCGCCTTGCCAACACCACCATCTTGAAATGTCTGTTACTGCTGCCACCGATCACCATGAGGAGCCATGTTTGCCGCCACCAGGAGGAGCTGCCATTCCGTGCATGGCCTGCTGTAGCTACCATGCCAATTTTACCAATTAACCCTCCTCAAAAGTCTTCATTAAAAATGAAAGGAAAAGAGCAGAAGTAAAAAGAAAGTGGGGAGAGAAAGGTTTGCGGGAGTGGATGAGCCCCCGGCAAGAGCCTGCATTCAGCACTGCTACGTCCATTTTGAGAATGTGAGGTGCACGTTAGTTTTATCCCAGTTTCCTGCTCACTAGTTCGAGGGACAGCAGCTGATCCCTGTTGCTCTTAACTGCTATGTGGAAGGACCAAGCGTTGAGTCCTGGCTATGTATGAGATACTGTGACTGGCGTTGACTTCCCAGGGAAGGGAACGGAGAATCAAACAGGATTCCTATTCCTGATCATTCTGATAATATATTGTGCAGTCAGCTGAACTCATTCATGTGCACAGGCGTTCATTTAGGACAGTATTGACTGTGCTAATGTCCTGTCAACACTTAGCTATCTAATCTCTCATGTAAATGTTAAGAACTTCACTAAGCTCCTGGCATCTGTCAGGTTCATTACATAGTCTTTACCAGGCCACTGGAACTTGAACGCACAAGTTCCCTTCAGGGTGGTAGGGAGATGGTTGAAGGAAGGAGAAGTCTGAAGACTGTGGATCAGCTTCGGGCTTTCTCTCTGTCTTTTCCCTCCCAAAGTTATTTTTTAAGGATGTGATTCACTGTTTGATTTGATTTGTGCTTTGTTTCCCATTGTCAGTCTTTTGGTGCTGGTTTACTATTGGGAGCTTCTCCTACCTGTTGGTTATGTTTATGTTAATGTGTTAATCATCATTTCAGATGATTCCCATTGTTTCCACATGAGTATTATGCACAGTGCTCCCCCGACACATTGCAGGTCTAGAAGGGCAGAAGCTGTAACTTCCCAGGTTATGAACATTCAACCAAATCTCTCTGCCATTCAGCATTAGTGTTTAAATGTCAGTGTCGAGGGGGCGCCGTGCTGTCAGAGGTACTGTCTTTGGATGAGCCATTAAATTGAGGCTGCTTAGGTAGATGTTAAAGATCCCATTGCACTTTTTGTTTAAGGAACAGAGCAAGGACTCTGGCATCCTTGTCAACCTTTACTCCATTAACATCAGTTTTATTTTTCATTTGTTTCATTGTTGTTTTGGAAGGGCCTATGTGTAAACAGCTTGCCACGTGTACCTGCGTAACAGTGGCTTTGACAGTAATTCTAATCTGTGAAATGTTTTTTACTGTCTTTTACTTGCAATTTACTGTAATCGTCTTGGCAAAACTGCTACCTGTAAACAATGTATTGCACTTGTCAGAATGCCTTGCCCCCTTTAGTAAAGGACTGTTTTTAGGGCCTTCCTAAGGTTCTGTCTGACAGTCTTAAATGCTGTAACTCTACATTGTAACTCTTGTTCTCAACATTGCTGCTACTTCATGATACCGCATTGAGGTCTTAGTATTTGATTGCTGAATGGGTCTAAAGGACAGAAACGTCACATTACTCAGGACCTCTCGCAAATATATTGTGCTAATTTCCAATGCCATCTAAACAAGTTGACTGTTAATAATCATCATATGAAACTCCATTCCCTAATTCTTTTCATAATCTCCTCAGGCAGCCAAACCCCTATGAAAGACAACTACAAATGGTATTTATATTGTGCTTTAAAGGAATAAAACATCAACATGGTTCTCAGAAATTTAAAAATACATTATATGTAGCCGCACAATCATAAAGCAAAGAAGAGGCACTTTGCTCCATCGACTTTGTCGCCAAAACTACACTAATACTACCTATACTAATAAAGGCAGTGCACCTGCCTTCAAAATCCATATAAATAACATCAACTGTACTACCCTCATCAACGCACCTGCTGACCTTGAAAAATTCTGTTGTATTTGTTTGGCACGATCTCCGTCTGACAAAGCTATGTTGGATATCCCTGATTAAACTGTGTGTCTCCAGGTGGAGATTAATTCTCCCTTTCAGAATTTTGTCTAATAGTGTCCCTACTGCTGATGTGAGACATGCTGATCTATAGTTCCCTGGTTTATCTCGTTCTTGAAAAGTGGAACCTCATTAGCTCTGGTCTTTTGGTACCTTCTCTGTGGCCAGAGAGGAATTAAACATTTGGGTCTGAGCCCCTGTAATTTCCTCCCTCATTTTCCACAGCAGCCTGGGATACAACTCATGCAGACTCTGGGAATTTGTTCACTTTTAAGCCTGTGGAAACCTCAGATACCTTCTCACTACTGATGTCAAACTGTTGAAGAGTTTGACTGTCCCTCTTCCTGAATTTTGCACCTACATCCTCTGACTGAGTGAAGACAGATGTGAAATACTCATTTTACACCCTACCAATAACCTCCAGGTCTATGTGCAGAATTCCTGTTTGGTCCCTAATGGGCCCTATTCTTTCTCTGCTTATGAAAGTAATGTATAATTTCAATGCAGACCTGAAAAGGACTGCTCTGTCCCCATAGGAGGAGACAAACCCCGTACCATTTCGCTGTGTGCAGGATTATGACTGAAGGCTTCCAGAAGTACTTGGCACCACTTCATCATGCAACCTGGTAGATCTGATCTGTCAGTTGACTTGCTAAGCAATGTGCACACTGAGTGTATTAAGGTGAGTGAAGTTTGTGCAGAACTGCTCCTATTCTGGTTGAGGTGGCTAATACAGCAATAGTGCAAAGTGTTTCACCGCAAAGCAGCTAGAAGGACCCAGGTCTGCATTTTTCCATAGTTCAGCAATTTGAGAAGGGACAAAGTGGGGAGTCTTACCTACTTGTTCATTGCTCCGTCCACCTCTTTGGATTGTGTAGTCCTCCAAATAGTATATGGAGACTGTACTCTTTTACACATAGCCAGAGGGTTAAAATCAGTTTCCTTTCTCTGAGGTGGATGGCTGACTAGTCACACCTAGGCATGGTACCAGAAACTTCCCTCTACCCAAATGCAGTTGGGCTGGGGAATTGGGTTGGGAGAGGTTACTTGAGGCACTGTCTACAAGACCATCTCAACTCTGCATCATTCCAGTGCTTACAGCCTGGAGTTAAGTGGCCCTGGTGGAATCATCATCAACGTTTGATTGTGCTACTAATGTTTTAGGCAAGTAGTGGCGAATAATGGAACCGGAGCATGCTAGAACTGTACTTTATACTGTTGCATTACAGAATAATGGAGAAAGGAGTTGCATTTATATAAATGCCTTTCACAGCTTTGGAGTGTTGCAAAGCACCTGAAACACTTTTGAAGCATAAGGTTAAGCTTCCACTTGTTATTTAGAGAAAGACACTGGTGATGGTTTAACCCGAGGGTTGCTATGCCTTACACAAGGGGAAGAGGTTGAGAAAGAGATTCCTTCATGATAACCTCAGCCGGTGCAGAAATTGAACCCATGCTATTAATGTGACTCTGTAGTGCAGACCAGCCATCCAGTTAATTGAGCTAATCATAGTCCCTATTGTAGTGAAGAAACTGAGACAACTAATTTACTCAGAGCAAGACCGCACTATGATAGTGAGGGCTAATTATTTACCAGGATGGCAGGGATAACTTCACTGTTCAACTTTGAGATCATTTCATGGGATCTCTTCTATTTACTTCAGAGAGTAGATAGGCCACATTCACACAACCAAAGGTTGAAATGTTCAACAGTGCAGCACTCCCTCAAAAACTACACTGGAGCAGCAGACTAGGTTCTTGTGCTCAAATCTTTGAAATGGCATTTGAACTCGTAAACTTCAGACTGAGAGGCATGAGTGCCACCCACTGAGCTGTTGCTGGTTAACTGAAGAGAATTGGAAGTTAAATCAACTCCATCTCGAGGCAAGATACAAAGAACTAGTAGTTTATGTCTGAGGGTCTAATAAGAATATAACAAGTAGCAGACATTCCCAGCTATAATTTTCAAAATGTCTGTGGTAAGATGATTTCAGTGAACTGCAGACCTACACAGGAAAAATGCAGGAATGGGCATGGAAATGATAGACGGGTTATTTGGAATAGTTAGTAAACACTGGGACAGACTTGAATTAATCAGGGCCAGTCAGCAGGGATATTTAAAATGGAAGCTCATGCTTAACCAATGATTGAATTTGTCAAGAGGGTAAAAATAGAAATGCAATAGATATGGTTTATCTGTAATTTCAAAGCTGATTGTTAAAGTACCATTTGGGGCAAAGGCATTTAAAAAAAATAAATTCATTCATCGGGTGCAGGCATCACTGGCTAGGCCAACAATTAGTGCCCATCTCTAATTACGCTCAGACCCTTTAAGTGTCAAACATTGCTGGGGGTCTGGAGTTACATGTAGGCCAGACTTCCATAGTGAACAAGATGGGGTTTTATGACAATCAGCATCATCATACTCCTAATTCCAGATTTTTGTTTTAAAACTGAATTCCACCATCTACCTTAGCAGGAATTTGAACCCCAGTTCCCAGAACATTTCCTGGCTCTTTTGATTAATAGTCTAACAATAGTACTGCTAAGCCATCACCACCTTTCTTTGGCATGTGGAATTAAGGTCAAGTTAGCTAGGGTGATGTTTAGAGTGTAGAAAGTGCAGTGTGTGGAGTTAATGCATGGCGTGGAAAGCTGGATGATGTTCCATGGTGATCTGTGTTCATCTCAGCATTGATTATACTTAATGACCCAGCCTTGACAGCCCTCAGCAGCAAAGAATTCCACAGATTCACTATCCTCTGAGAAGAAATCTGTCTTAAATGTATGACCCTTGTTCTAGGATTATTACCTCTGGTCTAGACTCTCCCACAAGGGGAAACAACTGTTCCAAACCTATGCTGTCAAGTCCCCTAACAATCTTGTATGTTTCAATAAGGTCACCTGTCATCCTTCTGTAATCCAAAGAGCACAAGCCCAATCTAATCAACATCTCTGGTGTCAGCCAAGTGCACCTTCTCTAGGCTGTTTCCAAAGCCAGGGTATCTTTCCTTAGATAAGGGGTTCAAATCTGGAAGTCAATATGTGACACACTGATCAAAATGCATAAAAGTTCTGTGCAGCTTAGAGAGAACGTTGCACTGAATTCTACCTGGAATCGTAGAATCTTACAGTACGGAAAGAGGCCTTTTTTTATTCATTCATGGGATGAGGGTGTCGCTGGCTAGGCAGCATTTATTTCACATACCTAATTTTCCAGAGAGCAGTTAACAGTCAACCACATTGCTGTGGGTCTGGTGTCACATGTAGGCCAGACCAGGTAAGGATGGCAGTTTCCTTCCCTAAAGGACATTAGTGAATCAGATGGGTTTTTTCCAACAATCGACAATGGATTCATGGTCATCATTAGATTCTTAATTCCAGATATTTATTGAATTCAAATTCCATCATCTGCTGTGGTCCCCAGAATATTATCTGGGTCTCTGGATTAACAGTCCAGCGATAATACCACTAGGCCATTTCCTCCCCGAGGGTCCTGAAAGAGCTACCTTGCTTAGTCCTGCTTTCCAGCCCTATCCCCACAGCCTTCTAACTCCATCTGTTTCAAATATATATCCAGCTCTCTTTAGAAACCTCCTATGGAATGCACCTCTACCACTCTACCCTAGTCACTGACATACCAACTATTGGAAATAGAATATCCTTTTATTTCCTTCAAAATTGTTCATAATTTTGAACACCTCAATAAGGTTACCTCTTAATCTTCACTGCTCCAAGGTTCGTGATTCTGCCACGAAGGATTAATTTAGTTTCAAACTGCCAAGAGCAGACGTGTTATTTTGTCACACACCGGGAGTAGGTGAAAAGTTTCCACAGACACTTAAGTACCATAGCTTTTTTTTTAATTTAAGTTAGCAGCTCATTTGCAGAATCTAGTCTCCACTTCAACAAAAAAAGTTCACCCCCCACCCCAAAATTGTCCACTCCCAACCGAAGTACAATACAAAGTTTTATCAAGCAAGTTCACAGTTACATTGTCAAACACTGCAGATGAGCAAGTCTATTTGGGTAGAATCTGCAGAATGCACTTGGCTAGAAAGCAACACAGCTTTGTACAGTACAAACAAGACTTGGAGACAAAACATTGAGACTAACAGGGAAGTTAGCACACAGCAGTTTAAAAACTGCTTTGACAACAATCGATACACCAGAATAAACGAGACGGACAAGCTCGGCTGGGGCTAGAGGAAGGAAGCAGGAGGAGTTTCCCAAAGGGCAGATGTTTCAGGCACTCTCTCATTGTGCTCACGTCAGTCTGAGCTCTGGGATATCGGGGAACATCCGTGGTTGCATCTAGTATAACAGCACCACATCTACTCTCAAAGATTGTGCTGTTCAGCAAGAACGTGCAATGGGCTTTTCTCTGCCATTGGTTAAACTCATGACCAAGCCCCCACCCCGATTACACCGACACCTTTGTCAAT